CACGCACACACGCACACACGCACACACGCACACACGCACACACACGCACGCACAGACACAGACACAGACACAGACACAGACACAGACACAGACACAGACACACACACACACACACCATATTACGTGCGCTTCCTTCTCAGGAGGGGATCCCGAAAAGAGAAAGCTCCGGAAGCTATTCAGCTTCTCTTGGGATCACGGGACCTGTCCCACTCGGAGCAACAAAGCTCTGAAAAGTAGCCAGCGCCGATTCTGGATTCCAGGAATAGACCCTTTTAAAGGCCTGGCAAAAATAATCTTCCTCAGCTCAGACGGTTCACGGGTATTCTAATAGTGGTTCGATCCTCTTGAACAATTGTGCTTGGAGATGTGTTCTTTAACATGTGCTGTTCTCTTAAACACGTTTCTTGATTCATTCTTGAACATGTGTCTGTCATGCGCTTCAGTGGCTAGCCTTGTGAAACTTGGACAGTCTTCCTGTCGGCTTCCCACTATTCTTAGAGGAAAAAAATGGTGCGACACCGCGAAACCTGGAATCTGAAGCTTCACATTAGAATCCTTTGCGGCCAAAACCGCACCAAGGCGGTTTAAAGAGCAACATGTGCTGCAAAACCAAACGCGGTTTCAATCACCGGCCAAGTCCAACGTGGAACATAAACTCTGTGATCATCGTGGGGCTTCTGTCCCCTGGTTGATCACTTGATTTTTAAGATCCCCTTGGCTCACGGAAAGGTGGCTGGAACTAGGACCCCGGCAAACAGCTATACTTTTTGCCTGGTGAGTGGAAAACAAAGGGGACCCCAAAGAAGCAAAAAATAAAAAGGGGAACTCAGTCTGGGGAAGTTTCAAGTCAAGAAGCGAATGCCACGTTCAAGGTGGCAGGGTGCGTCAATTCAAAAAGGAAGGGCGCAGCAGACACCAACCGCGCGTCTGGGCAGTCGGGTGCCTCGGGAGCGAAACAAGAATCCTCTGACCCACAAGAAACTGACCTAAACCTCCAACCGTGGAATCCTATGCCTCAACAAACTGACAAATGAAATCCGTCTAGTGCTTGCCAGGCCAGGATCTTGCTTCCAACAAGGAAACATGCCCCAAAAGAAACCACTCCTGCAGGGCTCCCTGCCTCTTCCTCAAACAGAGGCCCCGGATCGTCCAGGCGGATCTGTTGCGTCTGCAGCAGCTGCTCAAGCAAGAGCAGCACCTTGGCAAACCGTGACCCCATGAGGGTGAACTTGCTGCGCCCGCATGAACATGGTCTGTGACCACAGTGCGATTGCACGAATGTGGGACAGGAGAGATTGAGAATTAACAGCACCAAGCGCCAAGCACTCTCGAAAGGAATTATGAGCTAGAGGCTTGCAGCTGAAGGCGACGCCGACGGAGATGTTGCCACATCAAGTGCGGCACCATTAAGAATGCCACTCGGCAAAGGATATTACGGGCAACACGAGAAGCCTCTTGCCACGCCTCGGCCAAATTTTGAGAGCACCTGGAATTTTCAGACGGGAAGAGGTTGGTCTCAAGAAATGACAAGTGTACGAACGCAGAAGGAGAAGCTTCGGAGAGGAGGTATATCAAAGAGTGATTGTATGTGCCAGACCGAAGAAAGAGGGAGATCTTTGAGAAAATACAGTATGGCCATGCTCTCAAAAGATAGTGATTTTGTGGCTGTTCAGAAGGCAAACCGCTTCAAAGGGAAAGCAAAGGAACCCAAAAAACGAAACGGCAAAGGTTGCTCAAGTCTGGCAGTAGCACCAGGAAGTGCATGAAGTGGAAGCAGCACCATCAGCTCGCGATTCCCAAAACAATTAATAAAGAGCTCGATCAAACAACATTGGACTGGAGCCAAATGCAATTGCCATGTCAGCTGCAAAGGAAAGTCTTTGGAGTCTAGTTCGAAATGGAAAGCTCAATCATAGGCCTCGAGGGGATCCCGAGGTTGGCATCTGGTTTATCCTCGTCGCAATCACCAATCCAAACAACCACATGTTTGACTCACTCAACTTGCGGCCCTCAAGCTCCATGCGCAAAAATGCCCTGCCCGCCTTTCCCGGATTCCACACGACGTTTAAAAAGCGCGGCGTGCACTTTGGCGCGCCGGGCGCTTATCGGAGCGGGTTTCCACAGCCCCCTCGGGGTACCCTCCCGGATCCGCTCAAGGAAAATCGGGGGTACATAACCACGAACTAAAAAAAGCCACGATATAAACTGTCGCAGCTTTCCCTCCAAACACACAAAATATTATGGTCCATGTGTAGCGAGCCTTCCTGTAAAGAATCAATTTGTGCATAGCATCTGTACTATGCGTATACAGTATATACATGTAGATATACATGGCATTCCCCCAAAGAACCTAGCTGTTAATCCGATCCTCATTTTAACTGCATCGTGGCTCTAACCCGACAATAGCCATCAAACGGCATGCCACCATTCCGCCCGGAGCATTTCGTGGTGCTTTGGCTCAGCGCAGGTAGGACTCTGGAAAGCCGTCGTCGGGTCAGGGGACCTCCGAAGGGAGCAGTACGTTCTGAGGTTACTGGGGGTCAAGGGGTCAAAGCACATCCTTGCAAGGTTGCGGGAACCGGCAAAGGAATAACACCAAAATCAAAAGAGCAATAGAGAAACAAACTTAAACTAGCAGGAAATCAACCAAACAAGCAAGCAAACGAAACAGAACATGCGATCTCACTCTTGGAGGCTGCGCAATGTTCTCCCAGAATCGAACTCAGGCTGAACACTCGGCTCGCCGCTCTCTGGACACCATCCCCTCCATGCCATGGCACGCCCCGTCACGGCAAAAAGCCACCGGGCAATAAGTTCAAAATTGCCGCACAAGTTCATGGGGGGTTGTTCAATATAAAGAAGTATACCAGTTGACCCAATCGCCGACGCTGAACCATCCAATCGGCCTTCCAAGCAGCTCATGTTTTATGGCATCATTGGTTGCTCAATTCAGGCCTTTCTTTCGCACGCCAATTGTCGGCCTTTTGCGATGCACGTGTGGTCTTTCATGGGTAGACCCTTCAATCACGTTTCTGCCTGGACATTTGGGTGAGTGTACTGAAGATAAATTGCCTGCTTTCAAACACATGTTGCAAGAAGTTGGTCTGTGGTGCAGTGAGCTCCCCACTGCCATGACTCAATCCACCCTGCCCTGTGGCTCAAACCACAGGGGTCCTAAACCCCGACAATATCTCTAAAAGCCAGGTAGCAATCACCCAGCCACCCAGTGGCCATGGAAAGAAAGGCCGCTAGTTGAATTCAAGGGTTGCATCAAACAAAGAAGACAAAGGGAGCACTGACTGGTGTTGGATCCACTCAAGCCGTTTTCAATCGCCGTTCGGTCAGTTTTTCTCCAAGACGCGACCCAAAAGAGGCACCGAGCCAAACACCGTCTGCGGCTGGGGCGGAACCGGCTAGGCTGGAGCGCCTACCCCGTTTTGGGGTGGCCCAGTCGGGTGCTTTCTGCGGGCACCCGTTTTGTCGGAGCTCTTGGACCTCGTTTCGGGTCCCTGACATTCCCGACTTCAAACGCTCCAAGGTTTGGCTCGGGTTTGGACCTAGGCGATATGGGTAGGGAGAATGCTGGGGTGTGGCCCCGCCCTTTGTAATATGAGAAAGGAACCCAACTCTTAAGGAATTGGCGGCTTGAAATGAGGACAACAAGGAAACCGAACCGAAAACATGTTGGGGGTCAAACTTCCATCTTGAGCCAAAGCCACTTGTGTGTTTGGAACGGCAGGACGGGCCTGGTCCTCTTGAAGCTGAAAGAAGAACGAAGGAGGGATCCACTCAAAGAACAAACGCATTGCCCAACGCTCACCTGGTGACAAAACTGCAAAGGAACGACAACTATATAGCTTGGCTAATCCCAAAGCATACTTGCTTGGCTCTCAGTTGGAATGAGGGGAATTGGGAACCGATGGTTCAGTCCCTACTGAGAACAAGCATGGCCCTCCCAAATAAAGCAAGGAACCTCGAAGAAAGCGCTTCTGTTGATTGTTCGTTTCATTTGGACACGTTGCCTCATTGGGATGCCAAGTTGGGCAGAATCCTTCAAATCTCAACCAAAGAACGGGGGTGCCATCAAAAAAGACACCATTTGTGTGTGTGTGTGCGTGCGTGTGTGTGTGTGTGTGTGTGTGTTGTGTGTGTTGTGTGTGTGTGTGTGTTGTGTGTGTGTGTTGTGTGTGTGTGTTGTGTGTGTTGTGTGTGTTGTGTGTGTTGTGTGTGTTGTGTGTGTGTTGTGTGTGTGTGTGTGTGTGTGTGTTGTGTGTTGTGTGTGTTGTGTGTGTGTGTTGTGTGTGTGTGTTGTGTGTTGTGTGTTGTGTGTTGTGTGTTGTGTGTTGTGTGTGTGTGTGTGTGTGTGTGTGTGTGTGTGTGTGTTGTGTGTTGTGTGTTGTGTGTTGTGTGTGTGTGTTGTGTGTGTGTTGTGTGTTGTGTGTTGTGTGTTGTGTGTTGTGTGTTGTGTGTTGTGTGTTGTGTGTTGTGTGTGTGTGTGTGTGTTGTGTGTTGTGTGTTGTGTGTGTGTTGTGTGTGTGTGTGTGTGTGTGTGTGTGTGTGTGTGTGTGTGTGTGTGTGTGTGTGTGTGTGTGTGTGTGTGTGTGTGTGTGTGTGTGTGTGTGTGTGTGTGTGTGTGTGTGTGTGTGTGTGTGTGTGTGTGTGTGTGTGTGTGTGTGTGTGTGTGTGTGTGTGTGTGTGTGTGTGTGTGTGTGTGTGTGTGTGTGTGTGTGTGTGTATGTGTGTGTGTGTGTGTGGGTGCGTGGGTGCGTGTGTGGGTGTGTGTGGGTGCGTGGGTGCGTGGGTGCGTGGGTGCGTGGGTGCGTGGGTGCGTGGGTGCGTGCGTGGGCGGGTGCGTGGGTGCGTGGCTGCGTGGGTGGGTGGGTGCGTGCGTGCGTGCGGGCGGGCGTGTGGGCGTGCGGGCGGGCGGGCGTGGGTGCGTGGGTGGGTGGGTGTGTGTGTGTGTGTCTGTGAATAGTTCAAACATGTTTGTGTAGGCCCTTTCAACATGGTTCGTGAGGGGTGGCTCCCTGGAAAGGCTGCCAGCGGCAGGTTGCTTGAGTGTGACGTATCCTTAGCGATCTTTCTGCAGAGCGGATTTTGCGGTTTGTTTTGCTTGCTTGTTTTCTTCTTGTTTTTTTTAATGCATCTCTCACAAGTGGTCATTGCAGAAATTGTTAGATGTGGGGGTGAAGCTGTTCTACTCAAGGTTTTTGCAAACGTTAGCAATGCCAAACAATGAAGATAGTATACAGGAGTGCATTATGTGCATGCAAACTTACACATATGCATGACGCCCCCCTCGAGAATAAACGTTTTGAGGCAACCCCACATTGTGTTTCATTAAGCGGCTAATATTATGAAAATCTTGAAAATCAGAATTTGGGGGTGCGGGATTTGCTGCGTTGGTCTGTTCGAAAGATCTGAGAAAGCTTTCACTGGGCCAAGCATTTCCAGCCTCGATTGGTTCCAACATGACCCGCAACCCCCAAGGTTTACCGGCTTCCCGTTTTGGCTTTCCTTGGTGAAAGTCGTAGCCACGAACCCACTGCGCCTGGCAGTGGTTTCCTTTGGCCCCCGACATGTGGTAGGTGAGTTCTTGTAGAATTTTGCGGAGGTCCACTTCCCTTTGTCGCGAATCATGTTCGCTGAGCGCAGAGTCAGCCCGGTTTAGAAGGTGCGCCTTGAAGGGTTCTACTTCTGGCTTCCCGATCCCCAGTCACGCGCTCTCCTCGTTTTTTTGGCGCTTGCTCGCTTGCTTTGCCTCCGGCGGGTGAAGCGGGGTGGGGGTGGTTGCTCTTGCTGGGGGCGGTGGGGTTTTGGGGTAGCTGAAGGGTTGGCAGAAGTCTGGCAATAACTTCGCCTGAACATCCAAACTAGACTTCACTCACTTCAAAACCGGCAGCCGCCAACTGCACTTTCCACCTTGCAAATGCAGGCACCGGGCCTCAGTCGCCATTTCCCCGCCTCCTGGGACCTAAGCTCGTCCGTCCGGGCCACCAGCTGATCAGCTGATGGAACTGGGTTCCCATGGCGCGCAATGATGGGCCAGGATGGAACACCTTTCGATAGTCAGTGACCGGTTGCTGTTTGCCTATCCTGGCAAGACCATCCGCCAATGCAAAAGACACTTTTGCAGCTAAGGGACACAATCGGCAAAACACCATCGGCGAAGCACAGATTAGAGCTATAATCATAAGAAGCCCAAAGGGCCTTTGCTTAGTTGCGATCTAGTACAATCTGCAAGGAAAAACCAAGGAATCAGTGAAGAAACTTCATCTTCCATGTGCTATATATAGATATCAATACAAATATATATATATATACATATATACATATCCAGTGGTGAAAGATTCCCTTTAAAGCCAACCAGGAAAAATCTTACGAAAACAGAGTCATCATGTGTGATTACCTCAAGCTGACTTTGCCATTTCCGCACGAGCCTACGACTTGTCCAAATCTCCAACAGCATTGACTCCGGCTTGAGCAAGGCACCTTGACATGGCCAATGTAAGATGTTCTCGGACGAATGTGAACTGCGCTGGTCTGCTGTTTGTGCGCTTAAGGTGCCGTAGTGGTGACGGTGCAGTCAGGGCGCTGGCCAGCGGCGCTGGTTATGTGGGGTTTGTCTGGCGCCGCAGTCAGGGTTGGTCGGGGTGCGGTCAGGGTGCTGTCTGTGTGCTTCAGGTGCTGTGGCGACGGCTGGCGGTGCTTGGCGCTGCAGTCAGTGTTGATCCGGGTGCTGGTCAAGGCTGGTCAGGGCGTTGATGCTGTTCGCGTGTTTTGTTATTCCCCAAAACTTATATGTGGTTCTTACTTCCAAAGAGGGGCAGGCTGTCGCTGCAGCTGGTCAGGTTGGTGCTTGGGGTAAGGGTGTTTTTTAGAGGTGCGGTGGTCGCTGGTGGTGTTTGTAAGGTGCCGATTGGTGCGCTTAAGGTGGTGTAGTGGTTGCTCGATGCAGCCAGGATGCTGGTTTATCTCCCAGGTTGTCTGGGGTCAATGCCGATGGAATTTTACAGCGAGACCAAAAGGAAAACATCAACTTGGAAGTGTTGATTGAAGATATGTATTGACCCTGAGTATGTCCTTTCGGTGTCCATTTTGTTTGGAGGTCCATGTTGGGCTGGCAAAGTCGATCAGGGTACCAGGCCATGGCGTGAACACCTTTGTTGCCATTGCGAGGCATGGTGAGACATCACAGGGAGAGACACTTTGCGCGAGTGAAACACTTGGTGAACGATGTGCTGAAAATAGAAAAGCCAAAGGCCGGCCAATTGGGTCGGTTCATTGGTCCAAAGACTGCGGATCAGATCTTCTCTCCACACGAAATCCCCAGTTGCTCTCCGCTATCAATCTGAGCAAGTCATAGGAGGATACATCCCGCGCACCACTGTTGGTGGCGTTGCTCCAGTTGGGGCAGCGCACCGCCCGCGTGGCGTGCGGCAGAAGTTGCAGCAACGGAAGGGAGGTTATGCTGGTGATGTTGTCGATGACAACCTCGTCCGACGTTTCGACGTTCAGAGCATTGCTCCGAACCAAGGAGTTCGAGAAAGACAACAACGGGGGACAAAAGTGGGGGGACGCGCATTCACAATAACTTGGCCTTTCAATTGGTCTTGGGCGTGGCTTAAAATTGCGATCTTCGTATCTCAAACGACATTACAGCCTCACCCTAGGCTTCTCAGCAATTTAAGAACTGTCCCCTAAACATCCATATCAAATCAACAGGGAAAGCAACCAAGCGAACCAACGCACGGGACACGCTCTAACCCTGTTGCACTTGCGATCTTCAACCAAATGAGCATTGGCGTTGGCAGATGCATCAACTTGACATGCAAACATGCGGCCTTATGCCATGTGTGCATTTGGGGTGCCTCTTTGGGGGCTCAGGGGCTGTGATTATTCAACTCTTCCCTCCCCAAGTTCACGCAGAGGCATTACTGGCAACCGCGCTTGAGCTGCGATCTGCACGTCAGTCATTTACCAGACAGCTCATAGGCCGGGCTCGATTTGTATTTTTATTTTTATGCGGCAAGCTTCACTTTGTGAAAAGTATGGTGAATTGCTTATCTTCATGCAACACCAGTTCAACGGGGCGACCAAGCAGGCGTTCCCAAAGACTGAGGGAAGGCCCTCTTGGTACAATAAGCCCCGCTGTTGTGGTAGATCTCGACACCGCGCTTGTCTTTTGCTCAACCAAGCGGGAAGGGAAATGCGAATTTGGACTGGCATCAGGGGTGCAGTTTGCACCTCTTTCCCCAGCAAGGTCGGCGAGCGAGATGAAGATCTTGCGGTTGAGTGTTGATGACGCCAACCAACCGTTAGTGTGGTCGAGTTGAGGAGGAGCGATCCGTCCGGACAACACGGTGTAGTCACCTTCCAGAGTTTGGCGGGCGGGGTGCCCGTGATCGGACAGAACAGTTCTACAGTTCGCCAGGCGAAATTTCTCGAAAGCATCGGCACCCTTTGACGTGCTTGCAGCAGCGCTCAGATCAGATTTATGAGATTTGGGAGCTTGATGAGACGTGACTACGACCTAGCACTCTGGGCTGGGCAGTTCAACAGTCCTTAGGACCCGTAAGGGTGAGACCCTCAACACAAGTCAACAACATCAGGCTGGCATGCTTGAAGCTACCGGGAACTCAGGTGTCCCATTTGCTTCCAGCATCTGGATGGCCGTGCAAAGCCCGGACCCATCTTCGTCTCACGACAGAAAAAGTTCGGTCCACGGCTCAGGAAGGCTTGAACATGGCACTGACGTATGGCCCCTGGTTCTTGGCACACAGCGGGCACGCCGGCTTCACGCAGCCCCCCTGAAAACAATCCGCCCTTTCATCCTTTGAACATGCTTCGCAAGTTCATAGAACTTGATACTTGCAAAAAGTCATAAACTAAACCAAAATGAACCTTGATCCTGTTGCGCTTCAGCTGCGGCTGTAGCCCTCTTGCACAGTTGCCGCCTCCTGTCTCACGCCCACTAAGGAATCGGGAGATGCCAGCATCTCAGCACGTGACAAGGGTTTGGTGACCAAACTGCATCGTACAGCAGGAAGCACCTGAAACATGGTGTCAGGACCTGTTCCTTGACACAATGCTCAGTTTGCTGAGTGACTGGAACAACGGGCGTTGTGCGCACTTTTGAGGATACAGCGCTCGGGCATGCCACATCTGTTCAGGGTAGAGTGCGAATTCGGACCTTCTGCTCCCGCCTGCGCAGGAGCATGATTCTTCAGACTTAGCCCAAGGACGCTGCTAAAGGCAGGGGCTTTTGACGTAGTCTCCAAGGTTTCTTGATCGGTGAACCATATTCATCCGTCGATCCAACAGCACACCGATGAAACGCAAAACTGTAGAACTTATTGTCGCGTCGACTCAAAAACATCTGGCCTCTGCCATCCTGCGCAATCGTGGCCACTGTGAAGGAAGCTTCGCCACCCAACTGTAAAACACGCTCTGCGCGCATTGCAAACTTAAAAACCCTCAGCTTGGATAGCCTCACCTTTTCATTCAACTTTTTCTTGAACGGCTTTCCTAACTTGTGGAGGCTCGGCGGGCGCTTGGAGCCCCTGAGCCTGAGGTTGGCGAAGGCAGATGGCTTCGCTGGGGGCTCCCTGGGCGGCCTGAGATGTCCTACTTCCACCTTGCTGGGACTCAAAGCGAGTGGCCCTGCCAGGTGTGAGCTGTCACGGAGACGAGCATTTTAGGGGCGTCAAGAGGCATTTGCAACGTTTGTGTGCCCATTCATCCTGTTCGGTGGATGCAGGAAGTGCCTCAACACGCAAGCCACTTGGCCGAGAAGACGCGGGCCTTGCTACTCAGCGATCCATGGGTGACCCCGCCTGCTGTTGCTCGTCTGGGGGTGGGCCAGCCAAGGCGTGGTGGAGCATTTCGTGGATCCAACATCAAAAACGGTCCCTTTTCCTCACTTCGCCGCACAGCTTCAAGAAGTGCACACAAGGACGGGCATGCGCAGCAAGAAGTATGTGGTGTGCCATTCTAAAGCTGCCCAGACTTGCTTGGCGAGTGCACCAACGAGGTCGCCCCCCGCCCCTTCAAGGCGTGCGTGTCGAGGCAGGCCATTTGGCTACACCACTGACCGAAGGTCTTCAGCGCGTGGCCAAAACACAGCCTCCTGCGCCACTTGTTTGACGATCTCGCTGCGACCCGGCCCGAAGTGGGCTTCAAGCCCACCAAGTAGCGTTGCAGCACGGTGAGTGCAGCGGCTTGGCGTGGCATTTCTTGATGATGTGGCCCGTCTTTCGCAGGGAGCCCTCATCCATGAAATTGACAGGAAGCGTTTGAGATCGCCAAAAAGGCCTGGCGGTATGGGCCACCGTTCAAACTTGAGCCATCCGGACTTTGCAAGTTCGAGCGCGCTTTCTATGTACGCTCTGACGGTCTTTTTTTGCGAGAACCTGCTTGTGACCCTAACTTGCCAGGACAAAGCAATGACTTGCGTATGATTCGATGCATTCCGGTACTCAACAGCGCCCTGTAGGGTTTTGCAAATGCAGAAGAGTTCAAAAGAATTTGCCCCCATGGTTGCAAAGGGTTGGGCCCCAAGGTTGACCAAGGGTTGAACATGGTTATAGGGGAAAACAGGGTTAGCCGCTTGTCCGCCGGGTTGAGAAGAAGGGATAATCCCCCATGGATAAGAATGGTTTGGCCCCCGAGTTAGCTATAGAGAACATGTTTCGTAAAGACATAGTGAATCGAAACGCCGTGTTTGAAGTAAACGAAACATCAAATCACGCACGGCAACTCATCTATATTATCCGCATGCACTTGTATAGACAATGTGGGGTACACGCACGAATGAAGTGTCACAAACCTCAAAAAAGATAAGTGTGAACAAATTTTACAGAACTAAATGAAGGCGTGGCCACATTTTAAGTAAGAAATGGATCTACAGGTTGTGTGGCTTGGAACTCCCTGCAACTCATTTGTCTCAATTTGCATCTTAAATAGCAAGCGGCGAGCTACTACGGAGACACGTCAAAGTCGTTTGTTGCAGCGAGGGGGAACGCGATGATGGAAGTATCATCCCGTTTTGCATTTGCTGCCAACATTGCGACATGTTTGGCAGCTGTGCAGAGCCACAAGATTGTCACCTACATGGGTGCTTTCAATGGGTCATCTGTCAAGCCCCTGCATTTGCGGCGCACTGGTGACAAGTTGAACGGCCTCGTCAAGGGAAAACCATTGTGAGGCGTCTTCTATTCTGACGGGCTCGTTAAGAAAGGGGGCTTCACTGGCACATCTGGGTTGAACTTTCGGGGTGCGCACGCCCGGAATTTGGTGATGCAGTTGCTAACTGCTTTTGTCAAGTTCAAGTGTCATAGTGGGGCGTCGGCCCTGGCAAAAAAGTAGAAACAGTGCTGTAATGGGAAAAAGAGCGTTGCCGTTGGCTGTGAGTGCGCCCTGCTGACTCACTCATTCATTTGTCACTTTGCGTTGCATTCTGACTTGCTCGGGTCACTACGAGTTCATCCGGATTTTCGTTGGGGGATGTTTGCGTTTCTCCTCATGTCAGTCCTGTCAAGTGTCGCTACACCAAACAAATTTCAACAGACACAGGCGTAAGCACACTACCATTGCATTTCGTCTCTTTCATAACGTTTGTTGACTCCTGATCCAATTTATGGGGCTGGAGGGAAACGGGACAGTCTGCTGGATCTGCTCAAAATGGCAACCCCTTGCAGCCTGGAAGGCAAAAAACGGCTCTTAGCACTCCTCGCCTCCGAGGCGTTGGAGGCGTTGAGCAAGGCAGCCACGCAGAGCTCGCAGTGAAAGGCCACTGCCAAGTCAAGGGGCCTGCGCCGTGTTAAGGCATGCGCGGGTGCCTTTTTTGGTTGGCTTCGAAGGGGAACAAAAGGTTTCCTAACCGTTCCGTGTGGCTTGGACGCAAACACTTAGCCTTTTTCAGGGCTCCAAATCTTTTTGGAAAACCCGAAAAGCCGGGAATCACGCATGATTCAGTTCTCGTGCGCGTGATGTCTCCAGCTACAAAGCTGTCACTCCTTCCAATCAAGCGATGATCTTGTGAAGAGACATGGAAATTGGAGCTCTTCCGCCAGATAGTCTTTGCTGATCACCACGCGACGTGTCTAAGAGTTTCCATTGGCGTTGGCATGGCTCGAATCCGTGGCACAGATCTTCTTCTGGCGTTGGGCTGGTTTTTTTGAAGCGGCAAGCCGCTGCACGGTAGTGTGGGATGCGCAACAGCGCGTGACATGGCGCGCAACCACATGCAGCCAGCAGTATTCTAAACGTGGCTATTCTGGAAGGACTCGTGTATGCTGGAGGCACAAAACTCGCCTCAAAGTGCATCTGCCACCCGTCTTCACCTGCAACTCCATGGCCGCTTCTGGGTCCTGCGAAAACGGCCCAACCCATTCTGCTCCATGTTGATGGTACCCTTGAAAGCAACCGCCAACCAAAAAACCCACAGGGATCACCCCGGAAATTTGGCGGCAAATAATTTAATGCCAAAGGGACATCGGTTTGTTGCAGCTACTGTTGCTGTTGCTGCTGCGGCCGCCGCGGTTGCTGTTTCTGTTGCTGCTGCTGCGTTGCTGTTGCGGTTGGCTCCGACGTGATGTTCACGCGCGTTTCAGCGGCAATTGCTAGGTCATTTTCGCGGGGCCAGCGTGGGGAACTCACAGCAACGGCCACTCAAACACATGCATTTTGACTGCACCAGCGCATCGTTTCGCGACAATATGCGATCACCCGTTTTCGCAACCCTCCCAAGGTCATTGTCATGCGGCCTGCGTGGGAGATTCAGCAGTGTCCGCTCAAAAAAACTGCACGTTGAGTGGACAGTGCGTTTCAGCCGCTCGACCGCATCCCCGCAGGCCCGCGCGCGCGTGGCCCCAAACGAGATAGCGTGCCCGCCCGACCACACCCCCACTAGCCCGCACATCAGGGAGGCATAGAGTCGAATCAAGAAACGGAATCGAAGCCCTTTCAGAATCGAATCGCTTCGAACCGCTCGTAGAACCGAACCTGTGCACAACAGCTGGTGCCAAGAATCGACCAATGCAAGAACCGAACCTTTCTTGATTCACATGGCTTTGCTCAACCTTTCCCGTATCCCACGCCCTTCCCTTCCTTTGGTCTCCTCCTTCCCATCCCCAGATATTCTTCCAAATTTTCCGGGGGTACACGCCGCCGGCTTCTTTTGCTTGAGATTCAGACACGGACTGGCAACCTCTTTCCAAGACTTGCCGGAAAGAAGAGCTTTAGTCCGATTTGGTTGCCTATCCCATGCCGTTCATTCCCTTCCTCCTTCCCGTCCCGGGAAAATGTTCATTTTTTTCCGGGGATCCTGGCACTTCCCTGCGCCGGGGGGGCGGGGGCGGTACTTGGCTCTTACCACGTTTTGAACCTTCTCAAGGCAGGCGAGCAGCAGGAGTTGGGGGGATCGTTTTCGATGTTTCAGACTGGTTTCAGGTCTGGTTCAAACTGGTTCGGATGCTTTGGGAAGAAAAGCCCCCGCAAATCCGGCACATCGAAAAAGGACTTGGGCCTGCTTGTTAACACTCAAACCACCCCGAGCCGGCGCGCTCCAAGTTGGGGACTTTTTCCGGACTTTTCCAGACCTTTGCAAGCTGTGACAGAATCGAATTCAGATCGGTGGCGCCCCTACCTGTCAGGGGCTCCAAGCAGCATGGCACGTCCGGAAAAAGTCCGGAAACAACTTGGAATGCGCCGGCCTGACAGCATCTCCCCGCGTGCGTCCTGTAAAATGAAAGCCACCTGACACGCCCCTTCCGCTCAATGTGGCCTCACTCAAGCATCACAAAATCTTCTTCGGCCAAGGGGGGGGCTTCTCCTCTCAAGCAACTCTCAACAACACGCGAATGGTGTTCACGGACGTGGGCCCCTGGCAGATTTGGACTAAGGCCAAGCGTCTTCGCCCGTTGGGCCCGATGCCGTACTGAGAGGGCGTGTTGCGTCAGGTGCGTTCTTCACAATCCTTCGGCTGGGCGGCTGCAGTCCTTGCAGTACTTGCGCCTCACATTGTTAATTGACTCGACAACCTTCGCCCGCCGGAATCATTCGCAGGTGCATTTGCCAAACTGCGACCGGACCACGCATCTTAGTTGTCACCGTTGTCACCTACTCCGCATCCGCATTGAGTTGCAAGCCTTCAAGGCCAAGTTGAAGGTTTGAAGACTTGAAGCAAATTGCTTCTCTGGCAGCTCCTTATTCAAAATCAACTTGCACGGCTTCGACTGGAATTTCCCACAACCTCATTGATGTTCCCACCCCACGTGGCAGAAGATGGGCTTGACACAAGCCAGTCGTTGTGGGATGAAATCGAGCAGACGTCTTTTGATCGGTGGCCCTCCTGAACGACGAGGCTGATCACTTGGCCGACGCCAAAAGAAATGGAAATGAACCGTGTGGAAAGTACTTCTCAAGACGACGAGCCATGGCCTCAAATAGTGGCTTGCCAAGCGCGGGCGAACAGGAATGGAAGCAAGCTGGGTTCCCTGCAAGTGGACGCAAGCCTTCTTCCACTCCTATTTTACTCGGCGACCTTCACCTGCCGGAATAGTTTGCACCACTTTCTCAAGGAATTGGACGAAGGCATACCACCGCCGTCGCCAGACTGCAGTCAGGCTTGCTATTGGGCAACTCGAGAGTGTCATGGCAACGACGAGTGACAATACACTGACAACACGGCGGCAGGATGCATGTGATGATAAAGAAAGGTTGCTCAAGGGCAGCTACAACTGAGATGCTCCGCAAAGGCACGCCTTTTTCATGCGAATTAACCAAGAAGCGCTGGCCAATCTCGCTATCGCTGGCTTATTCTACTTTGTGAAGATCCTCGAACCAAGCACGCAGCTTCAAAAGCTTCCTTTTCGTTCATTACCTTCGACCGGCTCATCTTGCGCCACTGGTCATAGGCCCAATGCCATCGTTTTCCACGCAGTTGATTGAGCTCAAACTGGTAAACTTCTGGTGAGGCATTTCTTCTTCGCACGCCCATTGGTTCTGCTGGGATGCGGCAGCCCGCTCATGCGTTTTCTTCTGTCTCTCGCTCGCATGCGGCTGCGAGTCTTTTGCTCGAAGGTTCTGCCGGGTTTCCCTTCGCACCAGTTTTCGTTTTTCAGCCGCATCATTTCATCCCAATAATAATCGCCCTCCTCACTTTTGCCTTCCTGAGGACAACCCTTTTCGAAACATTCCTTCTCTACAGCAAGCAGCGCATTGCCTTCCGTTTCACCGCCAGGTGCATCATCCTCATCTTCTTCCGAGTCGTCGTCTAGGGCAGGGGAGTTGCTCATCTGCCTCATCTTTCTTCCTTACTGCAGAAGGGCAGGCGCGCGCTCCCAGTACGTGCCATGAATAACCGAGCGCAAATGAACGCCAACACCACTGCCAGATTGACCAGCCGCGTCGGCGCAGCTGCTTTGCAGGCGCTCTTGCCACTGCTCCAAATGATGAGCATCGTTGTGACAATATACTCGAACCCTATGGGGCCGGAGCTGATCCCATCCTCGATTGGGAAGTTTCAGCGCTCGCCCAGGGAGTCGCACACTCCGCGTATGTGCGCCCAACGCCGCACCATCATTTCCAGCAGACGTATGCGTCTTTGGGCATCGGGTTGGGGCACTGGCCACGTTCACCCTTGGCCCGTTTTGTTCAAGACACCAACCTCCCGCACGCTTTTCGAATCACGTCATAGGACTTCTTGGCTGCAGGATGCCCAATGTCAAGGGCAATTTCCGTTGCGTGTCAAAAATCTGATCTTTGCTCTCAAAGTCTCCCAGCTCCGCATTGTCCCTACTGCAGCTGGCGGCGCATAGGCCTCGCCGGTTTTGTCGCAGTAGTTTCTGCACAAAGTACCGCAACGGTTCCTTGCAAAACTCAAACACACCAGTGTGTCTGCTCATCTCCTGCTCATCTCCTCCACCTCACCCACTTGTGGAAAGAACGAGTGTTGTTCGGCCAGGTAATCACTCCATCTACAGAGTTCATTCCATGCCCGGACAGGCTCCAAGGGGTATTCTGTTTGAGGGCCTGATTGTAGCCTTCAGATTCTCGAATCTACCGCGTTGCTTCAGACAAAAACTCAAACACTTGCTTCCAGTTAGTTTGGAATGTCCCCCAAGCCCCTCCATGTTTTAAAGCGTGCTCTTTCAAAGCTGCCCAGCGCCTGCAGCTGGAAAGAAATCCTCCTTGAGACTGGGGTCCATGTCCATGCCAGCCACTTCTTGCAGCACCCTCAAGGCGGTGGTTTGTGAGCGACTCGGGCTTGATGGCGCGGACCCTCTTGTCAGGCACTGCCATGACATCACAGCCGTCAACATCCCCAGTCGAAGATGCAATTCGGCTGTGTCTGTCCGCCGTCTGTGGCGAGAACATACCATTTCTTGTCCAGCGTAGAGGCTTTGCTTTGCGTCCTTTTTAGTAAGTTCGCCACGTCAGGTCCCTCTACTTCCCCCTAATCTCCAAGCAGCCGCTGCCCTTTTTGCATTTCGTTGAGCAGCACAATCGTCGTTGCCGCCGTCGACATGCTCGCGTATGCGGATGTCAGGCAAGCCGACACATCTTGTAGCGCCTGCAGCTGTGTCTTGAGTTTCTCAAATCGCAACTTCAGAACGCCCACCTTGCGACGAAGCTCAGCCAACTCCAAATTCGACATGCATTGCATGATGGGCAACAAGCGCTACCATATCATGATTCGACACTGTGAACCGAAAGTCATCTCGCGACCCATGTTTCCCACCGACACTGACATTGAAGGACCGAAGAGGTGTGACCAGTAGCCTGCACTCTTGCCATCGCAACACACACCATCAGACCCCGCGTATTTCTTACAAGGGTGCCTTTTTCCCTTATCGGCTGCAAACTTGAATGTGAGAAGACATAGCTGCGGCAGAAGAAGACATGCGTGTTGAATGAACTGTGCGGCAGCGCGGTTCATTGCAACTCTTTCATAGGCTGCAGGCTGCAGCGCGTCGACCTTGCTTTCCACCTGCTGCACCGTTGCGAGGCTTGCTGTGTATGACCATCTAGCGGGTCACTCTGGTGCATCGGTGTCCTGCCGTGCAATAGCAGCAAAAGATGTCCCATTCCTTGCTGACGTACATGATCTTCAGCTCCTTCATCTGGGCTCTGCCCTTGACCTGCGTCATCGTGGGCCAACTGCGGGCAAATCAACCAACCTGTCACAATGCAAACTCGCACACGCACGCGCACACACACAGACACGTTTGCCGTGTTGCACGCTCCCTGATTAAAACGCACGAGCCTTAGTTTCCCGCAAGCCAAGCGTTTCACTGCCCTGTGGGTCCAAAACACGTGCCTTGCAATACTAAGAACTTCTTTTAAGCTCCGATCACATGGCGCCTGC